ATGTTACCTAATGGGTTAAAACCCACATAATTTTTCTCTTCCAAGCCACTATATAACATAGTTATCCAACACATCTCAGCTGGATGTCTTGAATCTGACACTGAATGGAAACAAAGCACACTTTTCCAAATATATATATATATATATATATATATATATATGGTATTTAAGACTACGTGCCTATTTTTCTTTTTTTTTTTTTTTTTTTTTTTTACTTAGTAGAACATTTCTTTGTTTTAAAGAGGGATTTTATTCACTTTATTTCTGATCTGGCTGCCAAAGTTAAGAGAAGTCTTCAGTTTCTTATATCAGACATGACAAATTTCAAGTATAAAGATTCTAATTTCCCTCACTCTGCACACCTTGCATAGTTATTCACCCTAGTCCTATGTCAGAATTCATTGCATATGATATTTAGAAAATTAAATACATCAGAAATTAGACCTGTAGATTTAAATCTACACTGTTTTAAGGTACTTTATGCCAAATCAGAGAACCATAATAGACTTCACCATGTAACAAAAACGATGTTTTACTTCATTTATTTTGGCCTAACATGGCAAGGACATAATCATATCTGTTTCTCCATCCTACCAGTTGCCTGGGTAAACAGTAAGCATTTAAAAGATTGAGGCATGTGAGGAACAGTGTCTCTCAGGGTTTAATTGGATAACCAAAGTAAAGATAACCCTTATGCATTAAATGAACAAACCTAAGTGTTTTTTAAATTGAGGTCTGTAAAACATCCTGATGACTGCTCTTTTACTCTTTCTGAGTATACTTGAGATTATAACCTTTATCTATATTTATAAAATTATTCTAAATCTTAACCTAAGAATGTCTCTTCCTTTGGTTTCCTGACTGGAAGACTGAGCTGTGTTATTATGGGGATGAGATATTGCTGACAGTCAAATCTTCAGGAGGAAGCCAGGATGGCTTTGTCCACCATATAGGCACGGAGAGATTTTATTCAGAAATTCAGTGGAGGTAGTTAGGCTAAAACCAAACACTTTTGAAAACCTCATCCTAGTCAGACTATTTCATCCTCTGTTTTGCTGTATTAGGTGAGTACACAGAGTTTTGTTGTTTGGTACTACACCTGCCCCATCTAAATGGTGGTACGTAAATAATGCACAGGCCAGCCACCATCTGACCCATCAGCCAACGAGTATGGCACCAGCAGCAGGGGTCGTGTGGGAAAGCAAAAGAGACAAGTGAAAAAAGAAGTTGTGTGAGTTCTTCCTGCCCTTGGTTTGTGTCTTTTTCTTTTTTTTTCTTTTCTTTTTTTTTTCTTTTTTTTTTTTTTTGGTGACTCCACCCACATCATCGCCCCATTGAAGCTGTGGCCAGGGCAACCCTGAGAACTGTGCATGTGAACAGGAGCATCTTCAGCACATTAGAGGACTTCAAAGCATAACATTCACCATTTCCAGTAACAATGTTAAAACGGTGAGTTGCCCTGTTCCAGAGAAGTCAGAAAATTGAGAAAAGCGTATTTGTTTTACACATCACATAGGTTCTTATTTTCATTATGATACTTTTAGTCCCTGGCTGTACATTTTCTAATTTCTCTTTGACAGTGTACAGGGTCTTTGCAATTCAGTTGTTTTGTTTTGTTTTTTAATGAAAGACCAGATTATGACACAACAGCAAGACACGAGACTGAAAAGGAACTCTAAAGGCTGGTGCAATAAAGACTGCACTGCAAAGAGCTGGCGACACCTCTGTTGTGTGACCCTGGGCGAGCCTGTGCCTTTTTGCTCCCTTTCCACTGAGTAAATAGATGCCAGAGGGGCAGCTCTCTGTGTACCAAGCTCACTTGTGAAAGCTGCTGAGACAGTGAGATCACAGAGACCTTTGCTTTGGTGTCATCATCCTGGAAAGACAGAAGTACTGAATCAAAGGCATCAGGTCTTTCATGTGAATAAAGTGCTGATCCCACAAGCTCTGAGGCCTCTGCTGACTGGCACTGCTGAGCACAGAAGAGCTGCCTTTCCACCAGGTCAGCAAACAAAAGGTGCTGTTCCAGTGGTCCCAGAGGCTGATGCCACCTCTGCAGGTTCCCATGAGAATGTCAATCTCCACGCTAGCACAAGTGCTGACCTCAACCTACAACACAGATAATTTTGTCTTGATAATGACCCAGAAACGTGTTATATTAGAGAATTTGCTCCAGTTGGACCTGAGCACAGGAGGAAAGCAGCTACCTGGGCTTGCCAAATACATATTATGTGAGTTGGTGTTGGTAGAAGGGAAGCTCTTTATATCACTTTTAGCTACACAGATGACTCAATTTCCTAGCTGGAGGAGGACTCCTGGCCCCCAGAGCATCTCTGCCCCTCCTCCTAGGCCCTGCAGGGAGGACAGGCTCTCTGACAGCCCCTGATGCTGCCACAGCATCCAGCAAAGGCAGAGCCACTGCGCCCCTGGGGACAGCGCAGAGGGCGGAAGGGTGAGCCCAGGGAAGGAAGGAGTGGGTGGACTGCAAGTATGCACAAATATGCATGGCTCTCCTCCCACCTTCTAGTGGGTCGTACTGGAGAAATTGTTTTAATTCCCCATCTTCTGCCCTTCCCAAAGCAGAGGGAGAAACTGAAGCCATGTCGTGCAAATCGCCACTGAGGATCGCAGGGGAGGATTGTCGTACCCTTGGGCTGGTCATGGCTGAACACCATCAGCAAGGACAGCCCAGGAACATGGATAAGTGACACCTGAATTTCTTGAAACAGGTTGTGTCTTCAGATTTCTGACATCTCCACAGGGTATAAGCTGTCAGTGCTGGAACAATTTTTCCTCTGTTTTGGTGGGGGAAAGATTAATTTATGCCCGTACATTGAAAAGCATTGTTTTCAACATCCTGAGTAGCTGCCTGCACATACTTTCCTTACCAAAATCCAGCCACCAAAGGTAAATGCTCATTTAGCTCATGCAGATGCTGGCATTGGCTTCAATGGGATCAATCAGAAAAAAAAAAGGAAAGAAAATGTGCAGGATGAGTTGTACTCTTTACAAGTCAGCAACTTGACCGTCCTTGCACTTCAGGAGACAGGGCAAAGTTCAGGCTTGACCTGAAATTCTGCAATTCATTTTGTTTAGATAATCGTAAAAATATGCCAGTCCTCCTAAACAGACACACGTATCATATTTCTAATGGCATTACTACACTGGACACAGAGGCAGTTGTGCAGCTCACTCACTAATTATCCAAGAGGGCTTCAGCCAGTCCTGCAGGAAGCCATTCCCTGCCAGTGCAGGTGAGGGAGCAAGCACTGCTTGTTTGAGTAGCCTTTCTTGCTGGTGTCACACTTGGTTTTTTATTATTATTTTACTGATTTCAAAAGGACTAGTAAAGCTCTAATTCTGTGAGCAGAGCCTGATGAAATGGAAGGTAGCAAGGGAGGAGCAGAATTCCCTGTCTCATTTTCAGCTCCTCAGGCTGTCCCAGCTGTCCCAGCAGTGCTGCAGCCCAGTCAGCAGATGGGTGACACAGCATCCACTTCTGAACCCACGAAAGATGGAGGTGGGTTAGAAATAAGTGTTAAATGGTTCTGCTGCATTTATAACAAGATATTCCCAATGCAGGTCTTTTGAGCACAAGGTACCTGGCAGTGGCATATCCACGTTATATATAAGAGCTGGGGTGCAGGGAATGTGTTGTCTATTCTGACAGTCCTGCCTGGGTAAAAGCACACACCCGGAGGGGGGTGTAGAACTACAGAATTCTCTGGAATCATCTTGTCTGATCAGCAAGGACCATATAATTTGGGCCATTTCAGTTTACCATTTTTTGTGGAAAACCTTTTTTTCTTACTACCAGTGCATAAAGGAAATTTTTAAAAATGCCCAAGCAAGGGGAAAAAAGGTCCTAGGAAGAAGAAACTAAAAATAAGGGAAGAAATGGAAAAAAGTGGTGGTTTTAACTCCAGTTTCAGCTACCTTGACAGAAAGAATGCAGTATTTAGATAACTTTTGGCCACCTAGTCAATTTAAGCAATTTTTATTCCATTAAAACCTGATTTATAGTCTAAAACTTATCTACCGTAATAGGGCTAAATGAACTTTAGAGATCAACCTGTTATAAAATTATCAAAACCAAAGGTTTTAGGCAAAAGACAACTGATCCCTCTCCATAGCAGCACAAGTGCTACAAGAGGCAGCTGTAATGGCATAAATGGACATTTTATCAGCTTTCTGTCAGGGACTGACAAAATCATGTCAGATGAGGCATTAAAACTCTAGTTTTGAAAAGTGTGATAAATACCAGCCAATCTACTGACATAATATATAGTGAGTCAAATATTTAGTTTTGCATTAAATCTAAATCCAACATTAGAGCATTTCCTCTTGATTAAAAAGGATAAAATGTAGTTGTTATTTTATGCTTCAGTTCCCACATGTAATTAATGCTCAACATTCAGAGCTCTTTCTTACATTATAAATGTGTTAGTAAACATGTCAAGGAAAGAGGGGAGGCACAAAGGAAACAAGTGCAAAATCTATATGCTTAATTCATATTCCTCCATTTGCAGTGGCTAATATGTTATTGCAGAGACTATTTGCAGACACTTGCCCTGCCAGTGAGCAGCTAACTTCCCTGATTGCTTGTATAAACAGTCTTCCAGATCAGGAGACAGACGTTGTAAGGGAGTTCATAGATAATTTAATTTTAGTATCATTAGGAATTAAAAGCAGGGCATCAATAGATTTACAATAAATGTTGGCTAGGCAACATAAGCATTGCATGATGTGATTATTAAAAGCCTTAGTATTTGTGAATGATCACATGGAAAGGTTTTTCAGAAAGTTTATCATCTTGAGAATAAGATGTACCAAATTAGCGAAAAGATTACTGCTGAGATATGATGAAACATTTCAGTGTTTTTGTGTCATATACTACTATCATAGTGGGTAAGGGACAATTCTGCTTTTAAATGTATATGTATGTATAGTTATAGTTAATGACCTACTCATATCTAGAAATAGAATGAGACAAATCCTCATGAATCACTGAAATATCTTTATTCATTATGCATTCTATTCCCAGCATTATGCTTTAGCTGATTCTCGGAAGACAGAAGTTTAAGAAATGTGTTTTATAAACAAGTATTATGACCTCAGACTCTTGTAGTTTCAGCAAACACTGCACTGTAATTTCTCCTTTTCTAGAGAATATATTTTAGAAAACTAGCAATCTAGTGCTGTATAAACTGGCATGAGCTCAAATCAACTGAAAAACGAATGAAAAACACAAAATAAGTAAACACCTGCAGGCTTCATTTTAGGAAATATGCTGATTTATTTGTCAGGGAAAAGGTCTCTCTAGGTTGACACTCCTTGCTAAGTTTGACACCTAAATCAGCATTAAGTGCAACCTGCAGGATTTGGTATAACTCATGCTACCAGAAAAATAGTTCTTCCTACTCTGAAGAATATGAAAAATCACTGAAAATAAGAACAGAATAAAAATAAATAAACACACAAACACAACAATAACAACAAACAAATAAAAATAGAAACTAAGGAGACCTTAAAATTACTTCAGAATTAAGTACTCATTATGTAAAAGAAAAATACTGCTTGTTTCTTCTGTTTTACTTCAAAAATAGAAATTAAATGGATTATTAAATGGATGGCTGTGTATCAACATGTAATCTTCAGGGTGCAGATTACAAGATATTTGGCATCTAAGAATCTGCATGAACTTTAATGACAGTCAAACACCTCTAAAATTGTTTACCAAGAGTAGCAAGGCAGCCTCTGCCAGTGCACAGGTCTGCAAGGGGGAGGAGACGGCAAACAGAAGTGATACCCTCATACAAGTCACCCTTTTGGTGGGTAGATGTTTTTATTCAGTTTCCTCATTTTTTTATCTCAAAACCACAAAGACCCTATGCAGAACTATAGTTCAGAACAGTTCTGCAAATATTTGGCCCCAGGCACTTTCTTGAGCTGGCTACTCCTATAGCTTCTCCCTGCAGGATCTCCTGGTGCACAGGGCTCTGCTCACAGGAAACTTTCCAGGTTCTCCTTTCCACCAGGATGGCTTTTCTGGCCTACTTACCAAGTAGGAAGTCAACCCACTGTTGATATCAGCTATCACCAAGAATTACCTTTGAATCAGTGCTTAAAATGTTTTAATTGTTCCTGTAAAAAAGTCACAGTCAAATTTGCTATCATTCCAAAAACTGCAGTGATGAACCAAGTTACACAGGCTCTACCCCATCCAAAAATGAGTTTGTGCCATTTTACCCTGAGAAAGGTTGCAGCACCATTTTGGACAGACACAAATAACACTGGCACAACAAACTTCCCTGGCTTGACAATATGAGTGCATTTTGGAACAGCTCTACACAGCTTCTACTCTTTCTGCACAATTCCACAGTCAATAAACAACAGTGCAGAGCCAAAACATCCCCCTCCCCACACCCTAAAAAGGCAATACCCCAAGAAATGGAAAACAAACCCAAACTCCAGACCCTGAGTAGTTTTGCCCTCTGAAAGACTTAAATTGATATTGTTTTCTTTAAAACAGGTTTTTGTACTTTTCATGCCCACTGTCATGTGTTGCAACACAAAATACTTTCTGGCACCTACCAGATATTAAGGAAGACTCCATGTGAATGTCCTCAGATTCGGGTTGATCTCATAATTTATATCACTGCCTTGTGCAGAACGTAATTGCCAATTTACATGACATCAAAAGGCAACACTAGCAGTTTTATTTGCCTTGCACTTTGCACTTCAATTCAAGTAACTAAAACCCTAAGTAATAGCCATGTCAGTAGTTTAGGAGCTACTGATGTATGGGAACTTCGAGCAATAATAGATAATTATAGGAAGATAATTATATTTCCTGAGAAGTTTGGAGGCATGTGCTCTAAGACTGGGGAACTGGCACATTTCCTTGTCAGTGCTGTGTGCTTTTGTCCCCTTTTCATATTTTGATAGTCATTTTTCACTCCAAAGAGATTTTAGGTGGCACATGGACTGGCACAGTACCAGAACCAGATATCAGTGGGAATATCCAAAAAAACTGAGAGATCTTAGCGCTACTGAAATTCTTCTAAATTATTTCTCTACTACTACTATGTCTCATTAACCCTTTGTGAAGAGGGAAAAATACAATCCAGGTCTTCCCTCTTTCTCATTTTGGGACTTGTTCATAAACTCGTTACATCTTTGCACTGAGAGAAAAACATGACAAGCTCCTTTCTGAGAGTTCATCAAGTTCATGTATGTTACTGAAGTCACATTGCTTGCAGGAATGAAGAAATTCATCCCAGATTCCTTCTGCATGGAAACCAGCTGTCTTTCTCTGAGCTGATTTAAAAACTAAATGAAGCACACGAGGACAGAACCCTCACCACACAGGTTTTGAATAAGGCTTCCTACATAACTGTATGATTATTGACTGATCACGTACCTTTTATGGGACAGGCATCCTGCAAAATGAAAATGTGTTAACCTGAAAGAATGTCTTCCTATGATGTTTGGAAATACAAAAATTGCCACTTATTGCTAGCAGTGCTTACATCAGTACTGTGCCCACTGGCATATAGAATCCAGGAGGTCCTATGCAAAGTCCTCTACCAGCAACTTCCAAAGTAACAAGGGGAGGCCCAGGATGAGTTGTCCTTGTGCTGTCAGGCTGCTCTGGAGTCCTCCTTGTGCTGTCAGGCTGACATCTTCAGCATTTTCACAGCATGGGGCTTCTTCCTCCACAGGGATGCCAAATGCTCTCTTAGTTTATATTTATTCTTAAAACAAACTCTGTTATGTGGCAGGCGCTGAAAATTTTCTTGCATTTATATTTGAAACAGCTTTAAATTTTTATTTTTAAGCTTTAAAAAGTCATTATTTTCTACCTCTATTTTCCACCCTGTTGATAAGATTCAAATAAAAGAAACCTTAATATATTTAGAAGTTTAAGGTTCATTTAATCAAACATTAAAACACATTTCATATCCTTCTTTGCCCTTACATATCTGGTGCATGGTAGTAGTTCAAAATCTCTCACATGGAGAAAGCTTATTCAGATGCTAAAAATATCACATGTTTACACTTGTAAATCACCATTAGCAAATGATTTTCCTAATGCTTTAGACAATATAGAAGCAAAGTGCAGCTGCTTCAGCCAGAACGGTATTTTAGTGATTTTTAAGAACTTAATGAGATCAGGTAATTGACTAGTGAAGCTAAAAATTTTACCTTCAATTAAACAATCAACAGTTCAGTACATCAACATAATCATCTTTGCCCCTCCACCTCTCTGTTGTTAAATCAATATGTGGGTAGCAGTTGTCTAAGAAACCACTTCCTCTGTGTTTCTAAACCAGTGTTCAGGACCCATTTTAAAGCATTTATTCAATCTGTCTGGTGTAATTTGCAAATAATGGAAAGTATGTAGTAATGCAGATTCTGTAATCAACGAAGAAAAAATAAGGCCTTAATCAATTTCTTATTTAATGGCATTATTTATCCTACATTTGTTCTGGTGCAACCAACAAATAACTTAATACTTTACATACACTTTTAAGTATCATCATGTGTGCCTCATTTGCCAGTACTAGATTATTCCTCATACATATAGAAATAAGATTGTACAGGTTGCGTTAATGAATTCTGCAATTGATAGCTCGGGAGACAGTCATGAGGCAAAAGTATCATCTTGGAAAAAAAAAATACAAAATAACAGAAAATAATTTTGTCAGGAAAATCCTTCCAAGGGTAATATAACAACACAGCAATCTCATTTTGGAGTGGTTGATGATGAATCAATATAAACCGCCCTCTCCAGCCACAACTGTGCATGTAAGATGTTTATTACCTCAGGCAAAGGGAACTTCTGCTGTCTTGCAAAAGACTCTGAAGTTGACCAGTTGCATCCTACCACACACGACTTTCAGAGGAGTTCTGGTGTCATGTCATCCACAGGCTTCTGTGGCATAATTCTTTTCCCTAGAAAAAGCATTTGTTTCCATGTGTAGGTAGCATATATTTTGCTATAGCAAAAATATCAGGAGAAAGTTAAAAAGGGAGAAAAAGCTGTACTTTTACATGTAAGTTTTTGTAATTAAGACATAAATATATTTTAGAGCATACTGATATTCACCATCTGCACTTTCTGTGAGTATACCCTGACCACTCAGACACACCCAAAGACTGTGGGGCAGGGGTAGCTGGTGGAGCAAACCAGCACCAAGCAAGAACAATATTCATTATGAGAGTAACACGGGCAGAAAATGGGTGTCTTTTATTCAGCTATTGCAGTGTCAGCATTCTCTTCCCGTACCACAGTATGGGAAGTGGTGAACACAAAGACTATCTGCATACATTTCTGACTGAGCTTTTCAAGAGCAACTAATGATCTGATGGGGTTCAGTCCTCCCTAAAGCAGAGTTACCATAAAGAGAAATGATTTGGGGGAAGTTCTGTACATCTCCTGCCTGTTAACAGAGGTGGGTTCAGGTGGCAGAGATTGCCAAGAGCTGCCATCTTTGCTGCTGCCACTGTTGCTCCTATTCCACTGAATCCAATTGGGCTGCTTTACTTGGAGTAAAATGCTCATGAAGTTGCACGGGGTATTGCACCAAGGAGACAATATTATACCAGGTGCATTACTGGTGACCAAGCCAATGTCTGCATGAGCCTCCAGGGCCAAAGCCACAGAAAAGGGTTTAGCCCTGCAGGGCAGACCCGATCCAAAATCTTACTTGAATGGAAAACTTCAGTCTGGTCCCTGACAGACTGTCAGATCAGTCTCCGCCCTTTACCCAAAACAATAATTCTCCATTACCTGACAAACTTCAGAAAAAAATTTTTGTTTTCTCCACTGCCTGCATCAGGATGCCATGGGGCTGCAGAGCTACTGTCCCATGCCATCATTTTTGCCTCTGAGCCCCTGAAGGTTCTACTACTACAGCTCAGCTCCCTTGGCTGTTCTCACCCTGACTTATACAGCCCCGTGTTTGTTTTCAGCCAACAGAGCAACTCATTCGCAGTTCCTGCCCACATCTAACTGGCACTGGCATGCTCAGAGATAAATTTAATCTGGTGTCTTACTACCATGGAGCCCAGAATCAACCAACGAAATGCCCTCAATGAGCTAAACTTTCTCTGAAACGCTGGCAGGGCTGCAACACCCATCATCCAAAATGGACCAAATTAGTGCAGACCTTTTCCTTAAAGCGTTATTGTCTCTAAACTACTTACAGCGACTTGGGTTAGTTCCAAGGTACCTTCGGGAAGAACTTCCAGGGTAAGTCCCTGGAAAGTAACCTCAGCCACTGTTCCATCCTTTTGCAGAACTGGGTCCTTCTATACCTTAGGACTACAACAGGTCTCTCTGATTGACTTTGTGTGCTAGATTAGGGTTTTGGCTGTGTAAGAGGGTTCCTTATTACACAGAGACGGAAGTGGAAGAACTGATGTGTATAAAATAAAGTTACTTCTTCCCCTTTTAACCTCTGATTTTTATCCTGATAGCTGCAGTAAGTCATTGAGATACAATTGCAGGGTAGTGGGCAGTCCTGACTCATTTTAAAACGGCTCTGCCCTCATGTGGGTGTTTTCCAGGACAAGAACTCTCAGTATGTCTAGACTAGGATAAAAGTTGTGTTTTTAAAGATACTAGCTAACAAGGTTTGACTACCATGATTTGAAACCTTTCATAGACAGGACAAGTCAAATGCTAGAAGTGTTTAAAAGTGTTTGTTAAGTCATTCTAAAAATACAACTTTTGTACTTGTCTAGACAATGACAGAATACTCCTTACAATGGCATGCCCACTGCAACATCCTAAGAGTATAATAGCATAGGAAAGGATCAGCAAGAATTTTCTCCACATAGGTCTTCAAAGCAATGGCACAGATTGAAGTGCAGGGAAACCCTGAAGGGTCTGTCTAGACAACAAGGGGGAAAGGATGCTTTTTTAAAGTAGATTTAGTTCAGTCAGGAACTCTTTTTTCAAAAGCAAGACCTACTAAGAGTCTACAGATATAATCTGCCAAGTTTTAGCAGGTCCTATTCTGGGCTCCTTGCTGACTGCAATTCAGCCTGCTAAAATCATGTTAAAAGTTTTGAGGTCTATGTGTCTGTCACATGGGATTTTTAGTCCTTAAATAAACTTGATTGAATTAGGCCTCCTGGAAATGGCCCCTTCCCTAAGGCTCCCTAAGGCTGATGAGATGGCAGCTCATTTTTCATGCCCATTCAATCTTTTAACACAAATCATTTGCCTAAACTGTACAAGAAATGTGAAGTTTGTCTTTAGCGTCAGTATTTCTAGCTGACTGTGAGCACTGATTCATTTCCTAAAGGCCACCACAGCAATTCGTTTTGATTTTGACTTTGTTTTCACCGAAATGTACTCAGACAACACCCTTGAAAAATCTGCTCCTTTGAACAGCTACTTGAAAATGTCTAGGTCACATACCCAGTCTAACAATTGCATACATACCCACTTGCATACATACCCACTCTAACAATTGTCTTGTAAAAAGTCAGCAGATAAATTCTTAGTCATTAATACATATCCTTACACTGGGTTGCTCCTCCTAAGCTTACTGGAGAGTGAAAAAATCAGAACATCTCTTTCCCAAAATTGTGCTAGTATCTTTGGCATCTTGAACAATACTTTCAGGAAAGGCAAAAAAAAGAATGAAAAATGAAAAAATCACTACGACAAGTATAAAACAAGCATAAGCACAGCCTCTCAGACTGCTTAATATCAAGCTGTTTTGCTACATTAAAAAAAAAAAACACTCCACAATGACAACAAATTGAAACAAACAGAAACAAAACCAAATAAACAAAGCAAAAAACCAACAAACAAACCTATTAGTTCTATTTATTATTAAGGCTTAATGACATAGGTAGGTATCAATTTGTTAGGAAAAAAGATCTACCTCTCAATTAGTCCCATTAGATATTATGTCTTTATAACATGGGTGGGTATCTAACATTCAGGGAGAAATTCACTAGTCAACTCAATTTAAAGACTCCACCAAATAATAATTTGCTGGTATAACTCGAGGTGACCAAAGTAACACAGTCTGGATGTGCTTGAGACACCCGGGGTTTAGTAGTCGTTTGTCAATAGCTCTCAGACAATGGAGTTGTGAAACGGAGCCATTTAAGTTAACATGATAAGGCTTTTGCACGATTGTGTAAAGTTTTTTTGGCCTTGACATGCACCATCTGAAATATTTTAGAAATACACATTGATTTCCTGTTTTGGATAAATAGGAATAAGCAAACCTCCTATGCTCAGGAGGCCTGGAGGCAGTCCATGATTCAAAATCAGAGACTCAGCTGCCAGCAAAGGCTTTTTGGTAAGCTGTTGTCACCTGGACAAAGTCCTTACTAAGCCCAAACCACTGCTACACGTTAATGAGAAGTTGATCTGAATCAGATCAGCATGCTCTGACCTGCTGTTCATGCACCTTTCAGGTTTACAGCTCTGTCTGTCTTGATACTTTCTCATGTGCTAAAATAATGTCTTCAAAAACGAACATTTTGCATATATATACACACATATACATACATAGCTAAAAGACAATAATACCCATGCACAAATGTTATTGTTTGACACGTGGGGTTTTTTTTTTGATGTGTGGGACTTTTGTTGTTGTTGTTGTTTTGGGTTTTTTTATTTTTTGTCCTCTGAGGAGACATGTAAAAGCAGATGTCTTCCAGTCCTAATAACATTTCTTGTCATCCACTAAAGTGAGTGGATGGATAAAACTCCTTTTATCCGATATGACCAGAGGAAGGTCCTTTTCAGCGAAAGCAAACAATTAGCAGCCCTGAGTTATTATTTCCTATTATTGTGCAATAGAAGAGGCTCTGGACATTTCAGTGTGAAGGATTAAAGTGACCTGCTTTGCAAACATCGCGTGTCCGCCTTCCTCCTCTCCTCGCCCCCGCGGCAGCACTGGCGGCGGGCGCGAACGCGCAGCCCCACGCGTGTCCCGGCCGCGGGCCGGGCTGGGCTGTCCCGCCCGTGGGCCGGGCTGGGCTGTCCCGCCCGGGGGCCGGGCTGGGCTGTCCCGCCCGGGGGCCACCTGCGGGGCCGGGGCGGCTCCGGCCGCTGCCGCGGTGCCCCCGCCGGTCCTGCGGGACGCGCCCCGCCCGCGCTGCCCGCGCATCCCGCGCTGCGCCCGCCGCGGGCCCGGGGACCGCGCTGCTCACGGAGTCAAAGTACACAGCGGCTCGGTCGATAGCCTATTAGGCTAGAAACAGTTCTGCATATCAAAGGCCGACGAACCTAATGACTAAAAATATAAGTACCTGACCCGGAGGATTAATCACACACTGTCAAGCTGGAATTGGTGCAATTCTTCCAATCATTAACGTTTTGCTTACAAAAATGTGCTTTTCTGTTTGTTTTTCTGCTAAATGATAACCATTTTCAAGTTGAATCGGCTGATAAAAAAGTCAAAAACAAGACGGGAGTTGTGCTGGAAAGGTCATACGTGCCAGTTCGGCATGGAATAGCCAACGGGCAAATAAACAGGACAGAGCAGAGTGGCACGGAAGAGCCTCGAAGGTTTTCCCGAACGGTGTAAAGTGCTTTGGCGGTTTTTCTCCTGCCAAAGAGAAGAGAGTGCACTTGGAGAAATACTCGTCCGCCCTACCGTGGTCATCCCCACATGGGTCTTCCCCGTGTGGAAACGATCTGGGGGAATTAGGGATAGCTGCTGGGGAGTTACGTCTGACCGGCAGCTCGGCCGGCCCCTCCGGTGTGTTTTACCTCCCTAAGCCCTATCCCCGGGTGGGCGGGTGAGCAAGGACATAGCGACTGCCCAGCCTGGGTTACAGCGCTGTTTGTCAGCTGTCGCTGACACCCCGGAAATCCACATCCCTGGCCAGGCGGCTGCAGACGGTGCATCTGCGCTCCTCACCTGCAGGGAGCCGTCAAATTCCTGCCACGGCGGGGAAAGAGCCTGGGTTGGCGAGCCCGGCTTCCCCGGACCCCATTACATCTCCCGGGACGCGACCCCGCGCAGGTCCTCGGGCAGACGTCCCGCCCCGAACATCGCATCGGGCCCGCCTGGCTCCCGGCTTGCCCGGGCAGGGAACACCGGCATCAGCCTCGTGGAAATGGGGCTTGCCCGGCGTCCGCTCTCACGGGCCTCCCCCGGCTGCCCACCCGCCACGACCGCTCTGTTCCACTGTTCCACGCGTGTTCTCAGCCCCACGCCAAAGTACAGCCATAACACGAAGTCGCATTGAAGAGATGACGCTATTTTCTTGCACCTTGATATCGGTCGGGACAGATGAACAGATAAAGAAGAGCAGAAGCGGACGGTGTCTTCCCGAGCGCTCCCTGCTCTGCTCAGCCCTCACAACCCCATCGCCCTCCCCCCGCAGCTCCCGGGACCCGCGGTGGCTGTCCCAGTCCCCGGCGGGACCCGCGCTGAGACCCGGGCCGGCACCCCGAGCGAGGCAAAGCCGAAGGATGGAGAAGGAACCTGCCTCCTCCTCAGCGCAGACCCGCTATGAGCTGTCTGCGCCCTCAGCGATTCCTCGCACGGCGGCTCGATCCCGGCGCAAAGGCGGAGAGGAGCCCCGGGACGCCCCGAAGCTCCCTCTGTCACGTCAAACCGGGGCCGGTTCCCGCGGCCCCGACCGGAGCAGCTCGGGGACGGCCGGAGCCCGTGCACGGCGTGCACGGGCAGGGGGCACAGAACCTCCCGACCACTTCATCTTTTCGGGCCCTGTTCACGACAGCAGTTTTTGGATAAACCAAAGTTATAGCCACTTATTCAGAAAACTCAGCTGATGTTTCTGAAAGAATTAACTCACTTAGAGGCAACAGCTTGTCTGCTCTAAGGGCCATCTTCCCTTACCAGTCGCAATAGTCACTTGTTGCTATCTAAAAGCATTTCTTGGCACTAAAAGCCTCTGTGACACTTGGCCGGGTGTAAATCCCAGGTCCCTGGGTGCTCACTGTGGCACCTGGAGGGGTTGAATACCCACGCGGGTGCCCACCCAGGATGCCTGCTCCTAGGAGCAATTCTCGTACCCTGGTTCCGTGCTCCTTCCCCGAGACGACATACTCATTTCGGAGAAAGGCCGATGAATAACCACTGTTGACTCAGGTGGGTCAGCGTCTGCCCCGGCTGGGGTCGATGCCCGGCCCCGAGCAAACCCTGACGGCCCCGCTCCTCCTCCAGCCCGCACCCCTCTCCAGTCCCCAAGGTCAGGGCGACTCAGGGGCAAACGCCCATGCTTCCAGCCTGGGCTTGCCAGCCAGGTTTTCCTCCTCCCGCCACACAGCCTGTTCCCGTCTGGGCACAGGCACGGGCAAAACCGAAATGCAGGGTGGGAGGCTGAAACACAGGAAAAAAATATAGCAGAGAGCCCACACTAGACTCCTGTAGCCGAGGGTGCCCAGAAAGCTGCGGGGTGGTTGATTGCTGGCACAGTACTGAGGGAAAAGCCGGTTACAACACACCTGGCAGAGGAGAGGTTTGGGTTTTCTCCCGCCAGTAACTGGACGGCCAGAGTGGCGAGTGTTGCAGAGTTTAGGTTTATTTCACAGATATGTCCATCAAAAATTAAATACCAGGTTTTGCCTTTTTTTTAAACACCAAACAAGTATGTACAAAATATGAACAATGTGAGGTATAAAATCACAAGACTTTTAAAGAAAACTAGTATGTACAGAAGCAGATACGGGTACGATAGGCATTATCTTCCCACGGCTGTGTGCCTCACTTACGCTCTGCAGCTGATGCCAGTTTCTGTCCTGTGGCAGGGCCCTATCACTCCCTGCATTTTCTTCTCAAATAGGAAATCCATAAAAAACAGTGCTAGAGATTTTAAAGGAGAAAAATATTTTTTTTTTCTGCAAATAGAACCATCTAAACTGTGAGGCAAAAACCTCAAAAATCTGAGAAGGCACATTTCATCTCACACAACAAGAAAAAGGAATCTGTCTGACAACTCTACCTGACAAACAGAAGGATGTCTCAGTAGAGAGCACATAAAAGCGTGTGAGTATAAGGCACTTCTCGGGATGGCCAAGTCCCTCCCTATTTCACAAAACATGGTTCTCTGCTTACAAAGGGCGTTTAAATTAATCTATTTAAAGTACATTTGTTTACACATATAAAGGGCTTAATCCTGCAATCCATACTCACTTCCACACTAGTTAGAGTTTTGCCTGATCACTGACAACAGCTGATTCAGACCCCCTCCACCACCATGAGTAAGGACAGGGTGCAGGATTATATTCCAGTTAGAACAGTGATTATTGTACAAACATATCTTACAAATAATTAAATACAAAACATGGTCCTTTAACCAAATTAGAGATGCCAAAACTGAACTGTTTGCAGAAAATACATCTTTCTTTCTCTGCTTGTTATAAAATTAGTCTATTTGGTGATGCTTTTATCTTTCAATGCAACGGTGAAAGTTTTCTCCTGTAGCACAATATTCTTTCAAACCAGCCCCTGGTAAAGTGCAAGCCGAGTTAGGTCCGCTCTCTGCATGGGACTGTTAGTGGGCAGCAGTGTAATAGCCTTTATCGCCTTCAATGTCCACTTCTTGGTCAGAGTCATCAGAGACATCTGACTCCAGGTCCTCCTGGGAGGCTGGTGAGGGGGTGTACTGTGAGCCATCCAGAGAGACCTCCTTACCCTTCTGCTCGGGGCTCTGGCAGCTCTCCGGCCTTTGGTCACTGTGACTGTCAGCACCTTCTACTTCTTCTTTTTTGGTGGCCTGGGGGTTCTCCTGCAATGAAAGAATCCTGCTCAGTACAGAACTACAGGCCACAGAGACAGGAGGCCCGGGAATTCCAGCTGTGCTTTGTGGGAAAACCACCTTGCAGAAAAAGGCAGGTGTCCTGCTACCTCCCTGGGCCTCCTGCCTATAAAGCTGCCCGAGTGGGACAGGGCCGGGCAAGGGCTCTGATCCCACTCCCTCACAGCCACAGGGGCTGCTCCGTGAATAAGGCTCCTTGGCGATGGTTATCGCAGCCACTTCAAAAGAGGCAGGAGCTGCTGGAGCCCAGGAACCTCTGAACTTTTGTCTTTAGCAAAGCAAATGTTTATTATGAGTCTACAAACACCGACACACAGCTTCCTCCTGCCCTGATCTTTCTTTAATTACAACCGACAGCAAAAGGAGGGAGGTTGAATCCATCAGTGGTCCAAAAGCAAATGGAAAAAAATTACTAATTAAGCTAAAACTCAACTTTAAAACACTCACCACTAAAACCAAACCAAAACCCTGTTTGTGAATACAAGAGTAGCCAGGTGTTGGCACCTGTCTGGAGAGCCCAGTCCCCTAAGGGGGCATGAAACACTACGTGAAAGAAAAAGCAGGCAGAGACACGTACCCATGATATAACCGTGCGGGCTTGGAGAAATGGATGTGACTAAATGAAAAGGAGGAAATGACTTAAAATGGCTGAGATCCCAAGCGAGCTCTCTGGACACTGCAGCACGGGCTGCGCCCTAGGCGGCCTCTTGCCAGAATAATAGGACTTCATTAAAAAATCAACTGAAGATTGAGTTAAATTCAGCCAAAGGTCACAGAAGAGATTTATCTAGAGCATGGTACTGTGATTAGTTTTCTTTTCTTTTTACTTTTATATTAAAGTCGAATTTGCCAGTAAAACATGTGCATCCATGTCGCATTACTGAAGACAGACTCAGGCCAAAATGTTGGAATTTTTCAAAACTATTTGAGCCAAGGGACCTCACTTTTGCTGAGCCCCTATTTGTCACAAAAACCCCTAAATAATTATTTGCTTGAGCATGATTTCTAAGGGAAGGGAAACTGCTTTAACTTCTTACACTCCTACCTTGTAACTGCTTGTGAAAGGAAGGTTAAAAACTACTCAATCTTCCATGTGGCTCCTCAAAACAAACAAGGTATTTGTACCTGCTTTCTCACAATGTTAGCAAAATACACCGACCTGTGCTTATTAAGAGAGAGCATTTTAAAACACCGGTTAATATTCTCAAAAAAAACTGCCTAAGTAATTTACTGACAATTACTTATCTTCTCCACGTTAATTGGCTAAACAACATATGGGTTTACAAAACAATTACCGTGGAGTTTTAATAGGTGGTGTGTGAAACTCGGGCATAATTGATATAGGAACTGCATTAGAAGCTTTTAACATTAGTGCTGCCTGAACGAGCCCTCATGGATTCCAGCATGACTATTTGTCTTTTTAATCAAGGTGAAGAGGTTAAACAGCCTTTCAGATGACTTCTGCATACAACCTGGAATAGGCGAGCATGGCGTAAGATAAGACAATTAAAATACTTATTTCTATAGAAACAGAAACATCTACGTACCTGCTTTAGACGCCTCCATTTGGCTCTGCGATTCTGAAACCAGGTTTTGACCTGAGCAACGACAATGAGAAAAGGTGCGGGGTAGTCTTGGAGCCAGTTAGTGCCCGGAGCCTTACCCAAGCTACAAGCAAAAAGCAAGAACCTGCCAAAAACCCTTTCCCCGCCGACCCCAAGCCGGCCAGGTGCCCGGGAGCGATGCAGCGAGAGCAGCTGCACGGCGGGGCCGGGAGAGAACGGGAAGGGGGTGCGGTTCCCCGGGGCGGGGGCATGGCCTCACCTGCCTCTCGCTGAGCTGCAGCATCTTGGCCAGGCGCTTCCTCTCCGGCGGGGAGAGGTATTTCTGCGTCTCGAACTTCTTCTCCAACTCGATGGTCTGGTCGTTGGAGAAGCGGACCTGCCCCCCCTTCCTCTTGTGCAGCGGCCGCTGGATGAAGGGGCTCCACAGCAGCGGCTTCCCTACAAAGAGAGGCACAGTGCCGAGGGTCACTGGCCGGCCGCGGACACGCGTAACTGAGGAGCCCCTGCCCCTCCCGGGCCCAGGCCTGGTAGTGCGCCGGGTCCATTTCCTTCGCCTGATTTTATTTCTCTCAGTTCCTACTCTGATCTTTCCCCTCTCTGATTTTTTCCCCTCCGCCAAACGGAGAGACCAGTTAAAGTCACTTTACGGGCTTTGGCAACATTTCCGCCAATGTGTTTCCTGTTGGTCTATCTCGCAAAGAAAGAGACCAAAAAAAAAAAAAAAAAAAAAAGACCTTTGCTTCCTTCTGCTCTTTCACTGCGAGATGCCCTAAAGAAACCGTGTCCCTTTCTCTGAGCCAGCGCCCGGGTCCCTGCGGACAGCGGGGACATCGCGGGGCTGGGCAGGGGTGATGTGCCAACAGGAGGGCACTGGGCTTCTTCTGGGAAGAAGAGCCCTCCTGTCCGCCACCCTCGGCTGGGGGTTTGCCCTCCAGAGGCCGCGGGGTGCCCGCCAGGCTCACCCGTGGCCGGATGAGGGGCGAGGCGGTGCAGGCAGCAACACGCCGGGGAACCGGCCCCGCTGCGGAGCCGCGGCCGCGTCCTGAGGCAGGAGGCTCTGGCCAGTGCTACTGAGTCACGCTGTTTGTCTTGCTGCCTGAACCCTTTGCAATTTGCTGCATTGTTTTTCGAGATTTTGCTTGCGTCAGGCTTTAGTAATTCTGGTGCAAAACAGACTCAAAAAATAGGAAGCAACTGGTTATTTTAGCTGTCATAAAGTCACATCCCACACAGAGGAAATGAACAATATCAGAAAAACGGATCCCGGCTATCAGAAGTCGAGTGTTTCCTGAATTTGTCTGTATTGAGGATGTCGATAAAGTAATCAGCAATGTGCACGACTCCCGGGGAAGAGCCTGCTTCAGGCGGCCAGGAAAACACTTAACAGCTTCTGAAACCAGATTTACTCCTATCGAGAGCTCAAGGTTTCCTGTATGAACGGAAAGGGTCAGCCTCTTTCACTGCACAAATGTGGTGAGTCAGGTCCAGTTTTGCAATCACTAAGAACAAGTGCTGCAGCCCGGGCACGGGGCTCAGCCCCCGCAGAGGGGTCGCTTCCCTGGCCAAAGGCGCGAAGTAGTCCCCGGGGCCACCGACCCGGCCCGGCCCGAGCCGACCCGCAGAAAAACCTCGGGGGCCCCAGCGAGTGGAGCCGGCCTCCCGACTGTTTTTCAAGTCATCCGCAGGAAAGACTGAGATCTGCCATGCGATCTCCAAGCACAATTAAAACTCCCCACCAAAACCACATGCGACATTACTAAGGACACTCTCAGAGTCACTTGGTTTGAAGGAAAACAAATCTGAGTCACCGCGGCCGCGCACTGTGGTCTCGCTGACAGACCCGGCGCATGGCACGTCTCTAATTTACTGTAAATCAGACGGGGACCGGACAGAGCCGGGGAATACAGAGAAGCGGCAGGGCGGGCGGGAAAGGGGTCCGCTTTCGGGCACTTCCCATTTATCCGTGCCCCGACGGCGGGATGGGGACGAGAGCTGCGCCGCAGCCGGGGAGGGCGGAGGGGGGCACATGTCTTACCCAAGGGGTCCTGCCGGATCAGGGCGTGCGCGTAGTCGCCGACGGCGCGGGGGAAGGAGTAGAGGGGCCCGGCGTAGGCGCCGGTGCCATAGGTGGAGGCGAGGTGGTGGGAGAAGGCCGGATGGACGGGGGTCGGCTCGTAGATGGGGGTCCGGTACGGGGACACCAGGCTGGTGAAGGAGGAGTTGGGCGACGGCAGCGTCGGCGGCGGCGGGGCGGGCAGGGAGTGGGGGGCCGGGGCGGCGGCGGGGCCGCGGCCCAGGATGTCCTCGATGTAGAAGGGCGTGGGGTGCGCGGGCTGGAGCAGCGGCGTGGGCGCGTACAGCGGGACGCCGACGCCCAGGGCCGCCGGCGCCGCGCCCGGCGGCTGGTACTGCATGGCGCGGTCACCGCCCGCGCACCCCCGCGCCCCCGGCCGCCCCTGCGGAAAGCCGTCCCCGACCGCGGCGGCTGGGTGCTGGCACCGCCGCCGCGGGTTTCTCTGGGCTCGGGTTACCCTTCGATAGGTTTCTATTGGCGCGGGGCGGAGCCCGCGTGGTCTCTGTCCCCTTCCTGCCACGGCGCCGTCTGGCCAATGAGCCCGGCCAGGGAAGGGGGAAACCACCCCCCGCCGGCAAACACTCTCCCGCCTCCTCGAGCGAACTCCCCGCGGCGCCAATCAACCACCGCCGCAGCCCGGGGGAGCCCGGCGCAGCGGGGCGCGATCTGTCGCCCGCCGGGCCCCGACGGCACAGGGGCCTCGGCGCGTCCCGCAGCGGTTCCCGCTCTCTGCTGGCGCACGGCACCGCGTCAGCCGGGCTCGGGCTTCCCCGTGGGGGTGCGCGCTGACCCCTGCAGCGTGGCCCTGGCGCGGACCGAGGGAGGAGGCAAGAAGCGGACGGCCACCCCGCACCCGGTCCGGGGACCTCTCTCTTGGAAAGGTCCGCGCGGGCGCTCCGCCTGACTGCGCGGACCGGGAACGAGTGGGGGGAGTGCGTAGGCGGCGGGGCCGCACTGGCTCCTGCCCGTGCTTGGGACATGGCCGAGAGCACGGCGTGGCGAAGCAGGAAGTGGCGCCGCGCTGCTCGCGTCCCGCCTGGCACCGACGGCCAGCACCGGGCGGCAGACTGGGGGCGATGTGGCCGCCGAGGGCCCCGCGGGACTGGGGACGCAGTGCCCGACAGCCCGGGCTGGGAAAGCGGCATGACGGCCCGAGCAGCGCCACCTGGGCTCCATCGATTAGACTTTTAAGATCCCGCCGGGTGATGCCCCTGCCCCGCAGCCCCCAGTGGGGGACACGCGCTCTGTCCGGGCGTCGCCGACTCCGCTCCGCAGGGCGCCCCTCGCCAGCCCCGCTGTCGGCCAGACTCGGGCGAGGAGTGGTGGGAGGTGTGAGGCGGGGGCAGCGACCCCCGCTCTGCCCGGGCCCTCAAACACCCGGGGCCGACGGCAGCGGCTGGCGCACCCTCTCCTCCTCCCTCTCCGTGCGAGCGGAGGCGACAGGTGCACCCTGCGTGTCCGCGGACCCCGCCGTGTCCCGTCTCCCTCACACGCCCCCGTGCTGACAGCGAGCACGGAAAGCTGTTAAGGAAGAGCAGGTGCTGGTATTACTCTGCCTGGTTTTTTTGGTTGTTTTTTTGTTTTTTTTTTTTTTGATTGTTTGTTTTTTCTTTGAAAAAATAAGGAAAAAAGAGAAAGGTCTCCAGTTCAAACCCACAAAGATCTTAATAACTAAGAGGCTCACAGCAAGACGAAAGGGTGTTGGTGAAATGAAAAACAAAAAAATATCTATTTTAATAATACAGAGAGATTGGGTTTTCTTTTTCTTCACATTGTTAACAAATGCCAAAACTCACCTTTAAAGCGTGGTCTTGTGTCTTGTAAATATCAGGTACACGTAAAGCGAGCTGACAGTTTTGATTATTTTTTCTCTGTGTTCAGTCTCCCAGGCATTGCTCTTTCCAAGGGGCTGAGTTAATGTTTTCATCTGGAAGTGTTGGATTTGCAGCTTGATTTACTTAATAAATGTACAGTAAACCGATGACCCGTTGCCCTCTGGAATAACGACGTGCATGATATGAGGCAGCAGAATGGAGGGCCCCCACAATATTTTACAAGCTGTCGATTCAAAATCTTGAGAACAAGTTTATGCAAAAAGAAAAAAAAATGTTTTGCTGTATTATTGGAAAACAAATAAATAGAGGAAGAGATTATTCTTTTCTAACTTTTATACAAGCAATAGGCCTTGTTAAAAGGAAGTTTTAATGACACCGTTATTACATTCCACTACCACTGCATAATCCCTAACAAGAAAAATGAAGCACTTAATTTTGCAGTTCTACAGAACCGCCCCTTTCAAATTCAATTGTTAGACCTCAGCCTTCCTCTTTCCACGGGTTGGAGACTATTAAACCCGCATTCATGAAATGTCACATTTATTGAACTACATAATTTTTTAATATCACTAGTGCAGGTTTTATAGTTGATTTTATTGTTTTTATGGCCATTCGGGGCTCTAAAACCCGGATTTTTTCAATGTTGTCCTTATAATTTTTTTCACACAGTCTGAACTAATAAAATAGAACAGTTGTGACTTTTTAATGCAAGGGGTCTCGGAGTTTCAATATTTTCACTCTGCTGGATACTAAAACCAATAAAAATACATGAGATTTTAATTATTTTCTGGATTAAATAAAACCTTTTCCTTTTCGCTTGGAACATACATTTTGTTTGTAGTTTCTGTCGTGAGGGAGACAATGCAACATCAGACAAAATACTTTGTTACCAATATTGTTGCAATGAATACAGTTTTGACCGGATTTTACAGTCTAACGGGCATTTAAAGAAAGGTACTGTAGATCGAGGCAACCAAGACAGTGCTTGAGTATTTCTATTATTTCTTCTCCAGATTCCCTCTGGAAAGCTTTCCAATTTATCTGGAAAACCCTGAGCGGAGGGCGGGGGGAAGTAGGGGGGGAGTAGAGAGAGAAGCCTTGGGAGAGAGAGAAAATGTACGCCTCTCTCGATTAAAACAGGAATGCTTTCACATTAATTTTCTTGGTATTCACTTGAAACACCACCAAGTTTTCCTGCTAATCTGGGGTTTTCTGGAGGGCGGCGGGGCGAGATGCGTGCATCCCCGCACTGGCACGGTCTCAGCCCGGAGGAATCGGCTGGAGAACTCATTATTTTGTGTAATAACTTCGGGGCCCTGTCTTCCCCTTCACTTTCCGTGAAATCACTCGCCTTCGAGGAGTTCTGAGCTCAAGGAAAAAATAATAATAAAAGTCAAGGCCCCCACTTGCTGCAGGCGGCGCCGCTGCGAGCCCCGACGGCAGAGCCGGCCGGGACCCGGGTCCGCCGCTCGCGGGGCGGACAGCAAGAGCGGCTCTGGCCGGAGGAAGCCGCCCAGAAAGTGCTGCTTCGTGTGTCCCCTCAGGTCGGGGGCTGGCGGGGAGGGGTGGGACGGGCTCCCCGGGGGAAGGAGCGGGGTGCTGGCTGCCGCCCCATGAGTGATGTTGCCGCGCTGGCCTCGCAGGACGGCGCGCCCGGGGCTGCGCTGCGAGCCTGGCACAGCCTCGCAATTTCCCTCCCCTTCCAGCCCTTGTCCTGCGTGGAGCCCCGGGCAGCTTTCCCCAAGGCCGGCGCTCCACAGGTGCCTCGAGTGGCGATGAGGAAAGCCTTTGCCGGAGGAAGCGGCACTCTGGAGCTCCGGTGGGGCTCTGGAGCCTCCCGCCGGCCGCCGCCGCCTCCGTCCCGGTGCTGCGGGCAGTCGGCAGCCCCGCGGCGGCGGGGCCGGGCTCGGTCCCGGTCCCGGTCCCGGTCGGCGGCCCGGCTGCGGGTGGTCGGATCTGCCTCTGCCCAGCCCCGGGGCGGGGACGCAGCGCCGCTTTAATTTAGCGTTTATGTGTCACCGTGTTCGTGAGCGGCTTTTACGGGGCGGCCGTAACGCGAAACACCTGGGCAGCGGCACCGCGGGCGCGCACGGCGGGGCGGGCGCGGGCGGCTGCGGCGGAGGGCGCTGAGCTGTGCTGTCCTGTCCTCAGGCCGGCGCATTAAAATAAAATGAGAATAATTTTTAAAAATCAAAACCTCAATCCCCCCCACTGTGAGAAAATCAGGAAATGAAAGCTTCCAAAACCAGCGACACACGCCAGGCGGTGTTTCCACCGCACCCATGATTATCTGCGATAGACGCCCCGATAAACAGAATATTCCTGATTTCTGGAGTGGTTATATCGGGTGATACATAAACCAGTCATCAATTTACAGGTGAGTGTGTCTGGAACCACAGAACACTTTCTTTTGCCCCACGGACTGTTGTCACTAACGTGTACCTAGCCGGTTTCTGCTGTCCAAACTGGGATTTTCACCCACAATTGCACCCTCTGTGACACTACAGGCTTCGGCAGAGTTACACCAGAGATGAATCATTCCTAGCTGCAGTGACTGCATTTGGCTGTACAGAATTAGTGAACAAATCAGCAAAACTCCATCTTTTTAACAGCTGGAGCAGGCTACCAGCATCATCATTCCCTAATGCTACAGGACACTTTCCAAGAGGATCCAGCCCACAGCCATCCCACTCCTTTCCATTATTGAAAATATTTCAAGACTCTTCCAAGAGAGGTGAGGCCACAGCCTTGAACACCTTCCAAGGAGGAAATAGGAGGGAGTTCACCTCTCTGATTTTCTCTAGTACCATGGGAGCCAGACTGCTCCAGACAGAGGCACTGCACGTTGCAGGGTGATGTCAGTAGGTGCTGCCTTCTTCCAGATAATTCATCTGTTAAATATCCACTTCTTACAACTTCCTCCTCACCATCATGATTTGATTTAATAAATGAGTTACAACTGTAACAAACATTAAGGCAAGTCAGTCTTAAAGGCATTAATTAGATATAGCAGATCAAGACAAATCTTGGTCTAAAAAGGGATAGACAACATATAAACTATTACTCTAGGCAGAGCTAGCACAAGCTTATTGGTTTTTGTTCTACATTGCTATGCTTTTGCCAAATTTAAATCATCCAAGTGAAAAAAAATTCTGTTCTGTGGGAATCTTCATCATGCTGAGTACATTTAAGCTTTCAGCAAAATGGGTTCAGCTGTTTCTCAGCATTGGATTAGAGGAAAGCAATTTTTTTTCCCTGGCATTTAGACATCTTTGCCTTGCCCTGAAAACCTGCAGAGCCCCATCACAGAGAAAATTTCAAGAGATGAAAGCAACTGGCAAAAAGTCAGCCAGGGGGTGTCTCTTCAGTTCCTCCTTTGCTCTTTTACTTAGGGTTGTGGTTTAGGGTCAGGCAAAATAAAGACCCCAAATCTCTGCAGAGACACACGGGGACCTCAGGAGTGTTTAAACAATTAATAATTGTTAAATGAGTGTTTGTGGGTATGAGAGATGTGCTGCCACCAGCAAGCGTGTTTTCCACCTATGCTGTCACAAGCTCTGATGGGGAAAAAAAAAAAGCAAGGAAAAAAAAAAAGCTACAGAAATCTTTAAT